ACTAGGATTATATTTTTTAAAAGTATATTTAGTGGCCTAAGTTTGTGACAAAATATAAATCCTACTATTAGGGAACGGGTGTTACTCAAAAGAAAATCTACTTGTAAACAGATGTATATGATTCAAAATATATTTTTCATCAAAACAACGGTATAATGCTGATTAACTCCCAGTCTGGCATACAAACCCTATTCTGTTGTTAATGAGAAATATTTATCCCACACCTGCATTTTATGTGCATGATACATTTTATGTGCATTTTATGTGCATGGCACAGTAGACTAAGAGAACAAACCATTAATGCTTAGGGAATAAAAGTCCCTCTGCAAAAAGGCTCTTTAGCTAAAGAGATGCCACCCGGAGGGTATACACTCATGCAGGCAGTAGCTCAAGTCCAAATGACCAGCAATGGGTGAAAGGGAAGATCAAGGTCCTGCTCTGATGTCTCAAGGTGAGATACCCCAAAGGGCCATTCAGCCGCAGAGCTCCCCCTGGTTACAGCAGCATCACAGTTCAATTCCTCCTCTTGCCCAGTCCTGCTTCCTTCTTTCTCCCGCTAAATCAAGAGCACTCCCCTATACATAAATCGCTGTGTCTCAGAGATACAAGAGAAATAACTAAAACAAGTAACTAAAACTTCACAAGCTCATACTCTAAGTGGGCCCTGCACTAACATATTATAACATATGTAATATATATAATAGATATAGACATCCTCTTACATATGTATGGGTAGATAACATAATCCCACTACATAAATGCAGAAATCAAGCTCAGGAATGTTAAATGGTTTGCTCAAGGTCATCTGGCAAAAATACTTGAGGAGCTAGGATTTAAATCTAGGTCTACCAAATGCTAATAAATCACAACTCTATCTGCTAGAAAGGGTTATTAAATGACTTAACAGCACAATCAGCTTGAGGCCTCTGGGAGCAGTCAGGAATGAGTGGCCTGGTGAACTATGCCCAGCCACAAAACAGAAATTTACAAAAGTACTTGAGATCCAGGCCTACAGAAAACTAGATACACCATGATCAAGGTTTCATATATTTTAGGCCTAAAACAAAAACGCAGAGGCCTAATGGAACCAGAATTTCAGAATGAAGCTATATGGTTATAATCTACTGCATAACTACTAGATCCTAAAAATAATGATTGGAAAATCTTGTCCACCCACAATCAAAATGCTACATTATACACAGACAAATGTGTAGGAGGAAGATGGCACTTCCTCATGTTTGTTTTTTACTCCAATCCTTGCAAAAATCTTCATAAACTGGTATCTAAAAACTAATATCTAATAAATTTCTTACTAGAGGTACACTATCTTTACATTTAATATTCAAATGCTTGATTGCAACCAGTTCAACTTCTTCAACTATAACCACATCATAGCTTCCCCCAAGCTTTCCCTGATTATCAATCTTCTTTTATAGAGTATCTATATCTACAAGAACAACTAAAAACTAGTATTACCCTGCCCTGGTTGCCACACTGCCTAGCAGCTACAAGACATAAAATCATTCTATAAATTCTAAACAACTACAAATAAGTAAAACCTGACTTGATCAGTGAGAATAAACCACTTAAAAGTTTGACAGAATGTAAATTTACTTCTCCTTGAGATAACTACTTGATTTATAATATTCATAATAACAAAATTTAGCACCAGTTAATCAAAAAACTGAAATACACTTAGAAGTACTAAAAATACTTCAATTAATGTCACTTTCAAATTTAAAAATAACTGGACTCTGAGTTTACCTGTTTCCCCTTTCTGTAAAAATTCACCAATGCCACCTCTCCCACACCACTTTATTTTATGTATTATACGGTAACACATATAAATGAGCAGTGACTATTTCTTTATTCACCGTGTATATAAGATGCCTCAGTATCCAAGTTCAGTTACCATGAACTGCAAATATGGAATGATGGGTTCTTCAAATTAAAAATCATTCACTAAGACATGACACTATGTCAGAACCAAGAATTGGACATCATAAAATGCACCTCCCAGGTTTGATGTTTGGCCCTTACCTTCTTTTTTGTATCCATTTAATAAAACAAGCTTCTAACCAGAAATACATGGTTTCACACAAATATTTGCAATACTCCTATATCTACCTAATTTTACCACTTCAACAAGTAATAATGGGGATGCCATAACTAGTTCAATGTTTTCTAACTAGGAGACACCAACTGCCTAAGAAAAACCCTTCCTGGTAAAGTGGTCGAATCTTCTGGAGAAAGAAAAACAATTCCACACAGGAAAAAAAAACAGGATGGTAGACCATTACAGCTTCTGGAACAGGAATCCAAGCTCCTTGAGGACCAGGATTCCTGTCTTGATTACCACTGTACCCCGAGTATTTATCAGAGTACAGGTAACACTCTAAGTGATTAATAATAATAGCTATTATTCACTAATAAGTAGTATTTGTGAGGAATGTTACTAAGCTTACATATACAACAAGCCTTAAAATAATAAATGGAGGGAAGGGGCACTCAGCGGAGCCAATGTACATTTCTTTCCTCCATTTTACGGATGAGGAACTTGAGGCCCAGAAAGACTAAGCTTCCCAACCTGATGAAACTCTGGATAACGGGGCTGGGAGTCTCTTAGCCAGAGTTTGGGCACTTTCCACTGTGCTATAATATCAAAATGAAGGACAGAGCTAGGAAAAGAAAAGAACACGGAGAATACAGACTGGCTAAAAGTTGTATTAATAAACATTCACAAAAGAGTTAAGTTTGCCCCTAAAAACAAAAAAATAAACCCTATTTCAAAACTGCAAGGATACAACCAATGGGACCTATGGTTCTATTTCTTAAAGGTTATAGTCAATCTCCTATACACTAAGCACTTCAGGGTTCTTTAATTGCAGGTGCCTAGTTCCAAAAGCGACTGATCTACATAAAGAATAACTTCAAAAGCTGAACCTTTGTGCTAAAAGCCACCTATAACAATCCTAATGTGACTTTATTAAACTATACCTACATTCTCTTTCTAGTAAAATTGTCCAATCAAACGAATTCAAAGAACTATCCCAATCAGTGTCTGCCCAGCACCCTCTAACAAAAAGCACAGCCTCTGGAGAACAGAAATTCTGTCATATCTTGGCTATTCCCTACACGGCCCCTCAAACAGCGTTCAAGCCCTACACAAGATTATTAAGCTTCTCTCTTAAAATGTGAAGTAAAATTACATAGAACACGAATCTTTTTTTAACTCCGGGCTGGGAACGGAAGTCAAGTTCAAATTCTCTTCCTTCCTGAAGTGAGACATAGAATTAAAAAGCACCCCCCCAAAACACACGCGCGCGCGCGCACACACACGCATACACGCACGCCCTACAGTAAAAATGTGTCGGGGCCCCTTCACCTGTGGCAATCAGCAAGCAAGCCTGGATTTGCTGGGCATTAAGGCTCACCTCCCCCGGGGGAAAGGCGGGCGGGTGCGGGGAGCAGGGCCGGGAATAAACTGCTGCCTAAGTTTCGAACCGGATCGTTCCTCCCAACTTGGGCAGCCCTGCCTTTCCTTCCTTCCAGCAGCCCGGGGCACACGCCCGGGCTCGGCCACCGCGGGCAGCGGGCAGGGCCCGGAGCAGCGCTGCGGCTGCGG